CTCTCTCTCTCTCTCTCTCTCTCTCTCTCTCTCTCTCTCTCTCTCTCTCTCTCTCTCTCTCTCGCAGTAAAGAGATGTCCGAAATCCGTAAGTCGACTGTATTGAAGGCACTCAACTACAGCATCTCAAACGTGAGCCCCCGGGCCATCATATTCACGATGTTTGTGGTATATGTGCTGTCTTCGGGCCATTTGGGCGCCGAGAGTGTGTTTGTGACCATTTCTGTGTTCAACGCCCTTCAGTTCACAATGACATACGCTTTTCCCCAATCGGTTGTATTGGCCTCAGAGCTGTACGTGTCGTGCCTTAGGATTCAGGTTTGGGATCAGCTATTGTTTCATAACAAAAATATACATTTACTTGTGTTGTACAGAAATACCTGCTCTTAGAGGAGATTCAAGACCAGCCATCTGTTACCGATGGCGATATCAATGGTAAAAACAATATCAATAACAACGATAAAGACTTTAGTGTTTGCGTTAAACACATGTCCGCCGCTTGGGATCCGGTAATAAAACTCGAGAAAAGTCGGTTAAAAATAATTTTCTGGTCATTTAACAGACACTACATGTGCCCACTCTGTCGGACATATCGGTAGAGTTAGCGCCGGGAGAGTTGCTGGTAGTGGTCGGACCCGTTGGCTCTGGCAAAGTACTCATGAGTTACCATTAAAACAGTCAATTATCTCAACCCCATATCTAACCCACTCTTTTTGGCCATACATTCAGACATCGTTTTTGATGTCACTGTTGGACGAGATAGAGGTGACCGGCGGTCACCGGCGAGTGAGGGGTCGGGTGTCGTACGCGGCGCAGGAGTCGTGGGCTTTCAACACATCCATCGCCCAAAACGTTACATTTGGACAACCTTTGGACCCGAAGAGGTTCCGTGAGGTGATGGGTGTCTGCGCTCTAGACACAGATCTCCGACGGTTGCCGTTCGCCGAGAAGACTCTGGTCGGCGAGAGGGGAGTGACGCTCAGCGGTGGCCAAAGGGCGCGAATCACTTTAGCCCGGTATGTATGGGTCGGGTCGGCCAGTGAACCAGTCCGTAGGGGTCGCGCGTAACAAATTCATTGCAATAGTCGTGTTAACAGCACTTCTCAATTCGTGTCTTCAGAGCCCTCTATACCGACGCCGACGTATACCTATTGGACGAGCCGTTAAGCTCTGTGGACACCGAAGTCGCTAATCATATCTTTGATAAGTATTAACACTAATTATAACAATCACTATAAATGAGATCCCATTTGTTATGACAACACAAACAGATGTATAACAGAGTATTTGGCGAATAAAACGGTAATTTTGGTCACACATCAGATCCAGCACTTGGAAAGAGCGTCGAAAATACTGGTGCTCAATGAGGGCCGACTGGTAGCTGTCGGGCCATACAATCAACTCGTGAGTTCTGGCGTTGATTTTTTGTCGATAATCAAAGAGAAGAGACCGGACGGCAATGTTGTCATCGATAGGGAACCAATGGTTATGAAACGGTCAGAAAGTCTTACGTCCGTCCACTCGAAGGTAATTTGTGAGACAATTAAGAAACTTAAAGCTGACTTCAAATGGCGTTTATTATAGACAGCGGCCGAAGAGATCGGTGACCAGAAAGTGGACGACGAGACAAAGGCTACGGGCGGTGTCAGCGGTCGGGTGTATTGGCATTACGTTAAAGCTGGTGCCGGACCCGCGCTATTGACAATGTGCTTGAGTTCAATGATCGCATCGCAAGGTCTTCAGTACTACACCGATGTCTGGCTTTCACAATGGTATTCAATTTCTCTCTCTCTCTCTCTCTC